TTATATTATAGTTTAGAAAGCATATTATTTTCAAAGTGAATTGAGGTAACCTTTAAAACTGATGCTGTATTGCCGAAGAAAAGCAACTGAAATTTTTTCGTAGACTTTATGAAAAGCTGCAGTAATGTTGACTTTAGATAATATTGAAAACCTGTGTCATTACTCTTTTTTTGGTTTCAAGTTATTCAAAAAATGTTCACGTCCATTTAACTCTGAAATAGACATTAGTTTCATTGGTTTGTTAATCTCCGATGTATCAAGAAAGTTCAAGTCTACGAGTCTGGAAAAAAAACACAATCAACTCTTAAAGTTTCTTTGAAAATACAGAACTGTGATGTGGTTTTTATCCAGTCAATGAAAAACAAATATATACTTAGCCAGCACTATGGACCCTCCCAGAATGGCTGTCCGTTGATGCCTGTATACTATTCGTTTCGAACTCTATATGATTGTGTAGTTTTCGCAGTATTCATGAATTTACGCGATTGTTAGTGATATTCAATAAAAAGAAACTTCAAGATGCCAAGAAAAAACACGCTAAACTGAATAAATCAATTTTAGAAATTCAGTATACTAATATTGAAAATGATTATGTTTCTAATTCATGAATAAAATCTATTGCTTTGTATTATCTTAAAGTAAGTACAATAGAACATAAATGCTCAATTGATTGAGAAAGAATCAAGTTTTTTAGATTTATTTTTGATAATTTTGTATAAATTCTTCTGCTTTTCGTAATACATTTTGCATTTCATTATGTTTAACTAAATGACATGCATCTTGTAAATTTGACCAAATTAAATTTTGATGTTCATTAGATAGCTTAATAGTTTGCTGAGCATTTTGTATGCGAGCTAAATAATAAAATACATCTTTTGGTCGTCCATTAACATCATAAGTAATTTTCTCTTCAAATTTATTATAATATTCTAAATCATTTTTATCTATACCAGCTTCTTCTTTTGTTTCACGTTGAGCTGCTTGCAACGGAGATTCACCTTTGTCCAAATGACCTGAAATATAATTTATCAATCACTACAAAATGGACATATGCAATGATATTCAAAAGATCAGACATAAACCGAAAAAATATCGTGATTGCTTTTCTATATTATCTTTTCTTGAGAAACTATTACTCATCGACAGCGAATTCTGAACTTCAGAGAACGCCTCACATACTTGTGATTAATGAAAACAATTATTGATATCAATCATGAGTTTTATTATTTCTTGAATAGCACGATCTTTCTGAATTTACATTTAACCTATTTTACCTTTTGGTGGTGTCCAATGATGTTTACCATAAGATGTTTGTAATAATAAATATTCAATAGGATTTTGTTCCAATCGTCGGAATATAATAAATCCTGCAGCTATGCGTTTACTCATATCTAATTAAATAATCTAAGGATTTTTTACACCTTCAATATTACAAAACTGTTAACAACAAGCAAAAACAATATTTATTTTAAGAAATAAAAGATGAGTTTAATAAAGCCATAAAGTGAAATAAAATCGAACGCATACACACACACACACGCAAAAAAGGATGAAACTAAAGAAAAAAATAATAAAAAAATGAACTTTTGCATGATAATTTTTGCGAGAAAAAACCGTGGGAAATACAATCTATATATATATATATCTCGATCAATATTCATTTAATCAATTTTCACAGCAGCATAAATTTTCCTAACAAAGATGTATGATGCAATAAAGCCGATTGTACCAGTAAGGATCCAAAATGTAAAACAGATCAATAATGTATAACCAAAATAAAGCATTAATGGAACAAATTCGGTTATATCGAGCTTAAACAGAAGAATATTTGTTAATTACGAAAAAAGAAATATCAACCTAACACGACCCTTTGTTGTTCATACTGATCCAAATGGTTAAGCACTTTGAACTATATCTATCTAGTCTTTTTTATCGTAGCCTTATTATTCTCTATTTTCTAGGCTTTTTGGAATCATATATCACAATTCAATGTTCACATATACATTGAACTGTTCTACAGAATAAGAACAATTGGGGCATGATTGACCAATGTTATTAATTTAGTGTACTAAGCATCCTCAACGCATTCCGAAAAGTATATGGTTCAATAAATAGTTATGAATGCATAATATAACAATGGATCTTATTCTCGTTTTCAGACAAGACCCACGTACTCAGCAAGCATTCATATGTACTTCGTTCGGACCTGAATCCTAGGCAACGGGCTCTAGCAAGGATTTCAAGTGGTCGTGTCAAGTTTTAAGATATTTACTTTGGAAAAGAAATAAAAGATTGAATAAGCAAATACATAAAATGCTGAACCTCCAGATGCAATAAATGATCTCCACCACCAATGATAATCTTCGCCGCATAATTGAAAATAAGTTATAACAATCGAGATTTGTGAACAAGAAACTAAACAAAATAAAACATAATCACATTCAAAATTTGATCATTTTTCTATAACGTACTAATGATAATAATAAATACAAGAAAAAGAAAACCGAATAAATAATAATATTGATTTTCCCAGATAGCCTTAAGAAAAGTACAAAGAATCTTTTTCAAATGAAAACAAATGTTTTTTTTTTCTTTCTTACCGAAAAAATAAAAAATAATTCAATAAACATAGCTCCGAATGGGAGTACACCTAATAAATAATATCATCAGTTGTTTTCTTGTTACTATCAATCACTTACCAGCAATTAAAGTACTAAATAGAAAAGAAAAGATAATTAATCAAAAACTTAGATGAAATTCATTCTTTTATTTACCTTAAAACAGGATGCATAAACCATTGTTGTTCTGGTACTTGCCGTGGAATTTGATTCGTTCGAACTGGATGATCATATGGCTAAAATAAATTTCGATTTAATCATCAATTTCATTTTTATTTGTTTTTTTTTCACTTACATGCTTACGATAACCAAAATAAAAGCCAAGACAAACAAGTGGAAATGAAATTCCTAACCACATAGTTAATATAGCAAGCATTGTTGAAAATGGAACAGCACCCGATGAACGTTTTCCCCAAATAAAAAAGTTTAAAATAAGACAAACACCACAAACCACGGATGGATACAGTGTTGCAGTCTAACAAAAAACAGATGAAATATATTCGTTTAATAAAACAAATAGGATATTTCATACTAATCCTGCTGTTTGTTTCCAATTTGAACCTTTTATTGTTTTATATATTCGACCAGAATAAAAGCCAGCAATTAGACTAATTAAATTATGAGATAAATAAAATTTATCAAATCAATTCATATGTTCTTACCCCATAAATACATAAAGAAAACAAGCAGCACTAATTAAGGCACCACGTGATGATGGTGAAAGCATTCCAAGTGCAGCAAATACTAAAATAATACAAAGTAATGAATTTGAAACAATCAATTCTTATGAAAATAAAAAAATACAAACCAATAACAATAAATGACATGAGAAAAAGTTGAACACCTGAACCAATTAAAGCTGCAAGAACATTCTTACGATGTGGTGGTCGAAATACATCACCATGTACTCTATGAATAATAACAAAATATTCAGTTACAAAAAAAAAGAACACATTCATAGTAAACTGACAGTTTCCATCCAGTTTCTTCAGTAACATCGTCCTGAATAAAAGAATCTTTTGATTGATATTGTAGTTTTAATATAAAAAAAAAACCTAACTGTTTCTTCTTGATTGTATCGTGCAATATCTCGACGAAGTGTTTTAACAATAATCATTGAAAGTATACCAGCAAGAAAAAAGACAACAATAACAGAATTTATTATTGAAAACCAATGAATTTGAACATCGGTCATTGCCAAATACGTATCCCAACTAAGGATGAATAAATTCATAGAAAATAATTCATATAGATATTGTAATAACAAGAGAACATCCTCGAGTGTAAGTCGCTATTTTCATTCAGATTTATACCAGTTTGTAGAGCTCGATGAGTTGATGTACTGTAGAAAGGTCAAAACAAAAAATCTCGAAAACTTCAACTAACAAGACATTCTTTATTTTTGATATTAAAAGTGTAAGTTTTAGTTTTCTCGCCACCTATATACACACCACAACAAATGAATTGATCACAATAATATAATGCGTTCTTTCTCATAAGTTGTCTTTGTGAAGTTAGATTCATTTCAATTTCAAAAAATGACTGCAAGCTGTTATTTTGAAAATTTTAATTTTAATGTTGAATGAGGTTCTAAATACATCTATATTTCATACAGACATGGGAAATAACAACTAAATAGAATGCAAATTATTAAACTAATTGAATTCCGTACATTCACATTGAAATATTGAAAGAATAGAGATTGTAAGAACTTCTATTTACATTCATTACGTATATGGCTATATTAAATTCAGACACAGCCAGCGTTGAAGTTATTCAAAGCTGTGAACTAAACTAATATAATAATTAAAATTTTCAAAAAAAATAGCTTACAGTTATTTTTTGAAGCTGAGATCGACTTAACTTCTCAGAGATAGTACATGATGAAGAATGCATTATATAATCGTGATCAGCTCATCAATCTCTACAAACTGACATAAAGTTGATTAAAAATGAAGATTCACACTTGGAAGTCGGCCCTCGTAACACAAAAAAAACAACATCTAGGATTAAAGAAGATCAAACTATAAATCTATCTATTTAGAGTCAGGCTGCATTAACACATTTATATTCATAATATATCTAGCTTAATTGTAGATTAATGAGTGTTTTTTCCGTTCAATGAAGAAAATCTTCTGAGATATCTTTTTTCGTCTAAATAATTTGAATTCCAAAGATTTTTCAATTACAATAAAAAATTTTGTTGTTTTTGTCTTTTCGCTATTAATCCTAATTCTACTGTAATAATTAATGCCATTTTTTACTTACAAACTAAATTCACATCGTAAGGTCATCATATTCTTCATAGGCACAAAAGTGAGTTGACAGATAAAGTGTAATTAGTTTTAGTACATATGAGACGGGTGATTGACAGTAGACAAAGTTTAAAAGAACATTGCAGGTATATTCACATTATTGAGGTTGTAATATCAAGAGAGATCGCAAAAAGAGTGTTTACTGTTCTGAATAAAGAAGTAGCGAGCGAATAAAACTTATATTGAAAGACGAAGAAACTCGACAATAAAATCATCTAATAGTTCATTCTGTATTTCGTTTGTTTTTAATAACTATATACATACCGACTTGCCCAACGTGTTTCACTGGGTGCCCATTCAACTTCATAAGTCATTATTATTTTATTTTTTTCTACAAAAGAAAAATTCTTTCTTTTGCTCAAATTTATTGTCTATTTTCATAATATTCTAACCTTTAGGATTCAGTTTTTGCATATCTTGACCAGCTTGAATTGTACATGTATCATCATCTTCAACTTTAATACGTTTTGAATCAATACTTTTTGGTTCAACTTCAAAACCAACAACACGATATAAATCTCTTTAGATACAAAAGAAAAATATTAAATTTAAAAAATTGTCAAACTTCATATTCATACTCAGATTCTTTATGATAATGTAATCTCATAATTAAATGATTATTTAAATACATTGTTTCAGGTTCTTTTGTATAAATTCCTAAACGATAACCATGTTCATAAAATATTTCATGTGTATCAACATTTTGAAATTTCGTTGCACATGGAAGATTATCAATAAGACTTAAAAGAATAAAAACAACAACAACAACAATCAAACAAAATAAAATCCTGCCCTTTTTATCTTACAGATGAACATAATAGTTATTTCGAATACGTTTTCCAAGTGTTTTACTTTGTTCTGGTGTTAAATTGACATCTTTACAAAGTGTTTGACACTGAACATTTGTATCCATACCAACCTAGTTTATATTTAAAAAAATAAATTTATTTTTTAGAAACAATTTTCCTTTGTTCTTTGTTTTACTTTGAATTTTGTATTAACAATACGATCACCACGAAGAATTTCGCCTAAACAAATTGTTTTTTTTTTTTTTTTGGTAAAAAGTTTTTTTTTTATATCGTTTTTACCAAGGTTTTCTGATTTATATATTGTACCGTTTGACGGTTTACAATGAATAGCTATATCGTAATAATCATACGGTAACTGAGTTTTTGTGCTAGTCATTTTAACAGCCTGAAGATAGATTTAGATTAATTATTTTAATTTTTTCTCGTTAGCAATAAATTACTTTAACTTCAACATTTTCACCTTTTGTAAAATCAAGTGGAGCAACACCGGGAATGTAAAATGGAACAATCGGTTGAATAAACAACGTAATAGTTAAAAAACTGATAAATAATGTTGTTACGATCATCTATGAAAAACCGAATAATTTTAGTGTTTTATACACACGTGAATGAATGAAATACGAAGAATATCATACAAGTAAAATAAAAACGAAGGTTAAAATGAAAAAAAAAGCAGAACGAAAAGAATGTTTTTACGTGGCAAAAGCTTTCATATAGAAGCAGTACTGAAAGTGAGACATTCAACCAAGAAAAAAGCAGACAAGAATACTAAGGAACATCAAATATAAATAATAAATAAATGCTATAAAGACAAGTACAATTGTTCTAAATAATTACAATTTTTTTTTTATTTATTTTGTTGTGAGAAATCAAATTCTTATGTTTTTTCTATTCAATTAATTTCAAAGAAACATGTGTTAAGACAAGAACATATTTTTCATCTTAGTTTTGTAAATATTTGAATAATAATCAATGTAGAGGTCGTTGTCAAGTAATGATGAATTTGATGGCAATATTTATGTTTTTCTGAGTTGTATTAATCAAGGACACCTTTTCGTTTAAACAAATTATGGCAGCGAAAGCCAAAACACTGGTTAAATTAAAACCAATCACTGGCCGAAATGAAGAGAAAAAAGCTATTAATTCAACAAAAAAAATTCCTCCTGTTCAATTAAATGATCAACCACAATTAAAACCAATTACAATAAATATATCAGAATTTAATCGATTAGTTATTGGAGATTTTACACAAGACTTTTCTAAACAAGCATCACGTCTTTTTAGAATTTTTATTAGTTCAACTTTTTCTGATTTTAAAATCGAAAGAAATGAACTTTATCGACGAGTATTTCCACCCATTAAACAAAGATGTGCACAACTTGGTTATGAATTTCAAGTTGTTGACATGAGGTACGATGATTCTTAGATAGTTGCTTTTCTTTAACCATATGTAAATCTTTCATTATAGATGGGGTGTTTCCGATACAGCTGATAGCGATCATACAGCTGATATAATGTGTATGGATGAAATTCATCGATGTATTGATCTATCAGTTGGTATTAATTTTATTTATTTAATTGGTAATCGTTATGGTTACATGTATTGTCCAGTTGAAATTGATGAAGATGAATTTGAAACGATTCTTGAAGTTGCACGTGAAGAAAATATAGATAATATTGATCTTATACAAAAATGGTTTCAACTTGATAAAAATTCTTATCCATCGAAGTATGTTTATGTTGTAAGTTTATTTTCGATGATGTTGTTTGTTGGGGAAAAAAAAGTAAAACTCAATAAAATATGTTGTTGTTTTCTTTGTTTTAATAGCCAATTACAACTTATTTTAAACATTTTGAAGAACAATCAATTGAACAACAAGAAGAAAAAAAACAATGGCAAATTGAAGAAAAATCTTTATTAAAAGCATTACGAGAATCTGTTGATAAAGCATTTCAAAAGAAAAAATTATCTTATCAACAAACTATGAATTATTTTCAATCAAGTCATATTCTTTTCATAATTAATATTATTGCTATATTTTACATGCCATTTGTTTTGATTTTGTAGTTACTGAGAGAGAAATACGTCGAGGAACAATGGAAAAAAATCGTTCCAATGTTATTGGTATTGTTCGTGACTTTTCAAATCCAATTATTGAAACAGCCATAGATGCAAAATTTTTTGGTTGTCAATAAAAATATACCTTTTGTTAGAAAGAAAACTTTGTTTTTTTTTTTATAGATTCAACAAAAACTGAACGTATAACTAATTCAATAGATCAATTAAAAACATATTGTGCTAAAGTAACACCAGCAAAACAATTTAAAAAATTTCTTGTACCATGGGTAAATAGGAAAAAATATGCAATTTATTAAATTTTGTTTGAAAATGGTAATTTTTCAGAAATCTGGCGGTTTAAATATAACAAATGAACCATCTCATCGACAATATATCGATGAGTTCTGTACATTTTTAACATCAACTATCATGGAATTAATTGAAAATACTTGTCGTACAATGTCAAATAAAACTCTTTCACCATTTCATGAAGAGCTTCTTCATCATGCTATATTTTCTCGAGAAAAAACGAAATTTTTTTTCGGTAGAGAAGAACTTTTAGCTAATGTTCATTCACGTATTGAATTAAATCGTCGAAATATCTCAACACCAATTGCTTTTGTTGCTGAATCAGGTAGTGGAAAAACATCATTTATGGCACGATTAGCACAAGAGTTACGTGTATGGTATCCAACAAGTGTTATATTCATACGATTTTTGGGTACATCAGCACCATCAACAAATATTGAATCAGTTATACGTTCATTATGTACACAATTGAAAATTTTATATGGAAATGATGATGATAATGATGATGATGATGATGATGATGATAGTTCTTTAACATTTTCATCACTTGTTCGAATATTTCATGAACGATTAAAAGCAATATCAAAAAGACGTTTAAAAAATCTTATAAAAAGATCTCGACCAAAACCATTATTTATTTTATTAGATGCTATTGATCAACTTGAAGATACATCTAAATATTCATTTCAATTTGATTCATGGCTGTTACGTTATTTACCACGTGATGTTCATATATTTTTATCATTTATACCAACAATTGAACGTTTTAATTTAAAAGATTTATTTTTACAATTCATACGAAATGACGATTCAACATTATTTACGATACCTCGTCTCCGGCCAAATGACTGTGAAGATATAATTCGAAATTCTTTACAATCATATAATCGACAATTAACATCTGAACAATACATATACTTATTAGCAACTGTAGAACAAAATCCCAAACCTTTATATTTAAAATTATTGATTGATATTGCACGACGATGGACATGTTATCAAAAACAATCATTACAAATAACACTTTCATTACCTGAGACAATTGAAGATGCTGTTGAACAATTATTTGCACGTTTAGAAAATCGTCATGGTAAAGAATTTGTTCAATATTCACTTGCTTATTTAGTTTATGGTTTAAATGGTATATCAGAAAATGAATTAGAAGATTGTTTATCAATAAATGATATTGTTTTAAATGAAATTTATTCTCATCATGATCCACCAATACCAAATGCAATACATGTACCATCACTACTTTGTCAATCATTTCTTTATTCAATAAAAGAATATATAAGTCATAAACATATACATAATAAACATATTCTATCATTTTATCATAGAAAATTTTCTGAATCAACAAGAAAACGTTATAAACATTTACGTGAACAATGTCATGAACATCTTATTGAAATTTATTGTAATGATCAAACATCATATAAACGTACAATAATATTAAAGAAACGAAATAATAAAATATTAAATGATGCTGATCGTTTAATTAATACACAAATAACAAATATACTTAATAAAAGAAAATTGATATCATTACCATATCATTGTTTAGAATTTGGTTTTGAAAAAGATCATTTATTACGATCAATATGTTTATTCAATTTAAATTTTCTTTCATGTCAATTAAAAAGTCTTGGTCATACAATATTTCTTGATACAATAAGATATTGTTTACGTTTAAGACCCAATTGGTTTGATTTGAAACGTCTTTATCGTGCTATATGGTCGATTGATGATGAATTTATTAAAGATTCTGATGTTTCATTAATACTTGCAGAACAAATACTTGGTTTTATTGATGATGATCAAACAAGTCAATTATATGATGATAGTAATCAATTAAATACAAATAATGATCTTGAAAAACTTATTCATGATTGTCGAAAATATTGTATCGAACATCAAAATTCATTTTGTTCATTATATGCTGGTTTTCCACAAGAAACTGGTGCATTAGCATGGAGTTATTCACCCGTAACACATATTTTATATACTAATGAATTTTATACACTTGTTCTTCTTGATGGAACACAAGATGAAGATGAAACACATTTTATTCAAACATCTACAGTTGCTGTGATTAATTTACAAACAGGAAAAGTAAAACAAATAAAGAAATTTTTCTAAATCAAAGAAGAAACTTTTTGTTGTTTTTAGGTCGATAAAATATATTTAGACGAAAATTTTAATAAAATTTGGGATGGTTATATAACGAAAAATGGAAATAAAATATATTTATTTGGAACTCATACAGTACAAACATTTAATAGTCGAACAGGTGATATGCTAAATGAAAAAACATTATCATGGGACAATAAGTCATTTTGTAATAAAGCTTATTGTATGACAAGTAATGAAGAGTAAGTTAGTTTGAAGAAAGAAACAAATTTGTTATTATTGTTGTTTGAGAAAAGAATGTATCGAATAAGAGAAGTCTAATTACGCAGCAAACATAATTTCATTAACCAACATTCATTAAGTTTTCATTTAGAAATTTATGCTTTAAATTATACATGGTTTTATTTATTGTCAAATTCATTTGAATTCTTATGTAAGATCAAATTATCAATCTACCGACATTCATAAAAAGAAAACATCGAATGACAGTCAATACTGATTGTCTACAAACAAATACTAATACCTATCTGGAACAATGCAAAAACAAAAATCTTCTCTGAAATAAGAATCAAGAAAAGAAAACGAAAACATCAGACTAAATGAGTCTCGATGTTTTTTTTTTAAATTTCATAAAACTTTAAATTTCCCATTGTATCTAATATAATCTCTTTCAATTATCAGTTTCAATGTTCTCAAGTTTTCATTGTTTCAAAACAAGTACTATCATAAGATGTTTGTATATATATCTATATGCTATTTCACACGACTCCTTTAGTATAAAATCTGTTGAAATTTGGTTTCCATAATATTTAAACTTATTTAGAATTGCATACACATTATCCACTACTGATTAGAATCTTAGAAACCAAAACTTTCTTTAAGTTTTATTTCCTAAATAAGCATAAATTTACTTCTTTTATTTAGTTGTTAAAGAACTTGAATATTGAGTTTGTAAATTGAACTAACATTAATCGTATACAAAAGAAAACATGATTTTATTATTGTTGCAGTAGTATTATGTACTTAATGCACTTATTTTACAGGCAGTTAGTGGTGGCCAATGAATGGCGTGTTCTAGCATTGGACGAAGTTGATGAGAAAGCAATTTATCGAGTATGTGTTCAAGCATTTTTAGTATTCATATATGTCAAATACTCTATGCATTTATTGATTAAATAAAAGAAATAGATGAATGAAACTGAAATGAGGCCCGTTTCACTTTTTTTCCAAGAGTATTCATCTCTATTAATGAATTTTGATTGTCATAATGGTGTAGTATGAGCTTTTCCTTTTACGGAAATTAAATGCAAAAGATAATAATATCGTTCGTCAACAAACATTTGTCGAGAACTTTTTCGTCGAAGTTATTTTGTTGACTGATATTTTGCGACGAAATCTTCGTGGAAAAGTATTAATGTTCTAAAACTTCAGTCTACTTTTTCTTTATTTGCGCATTAATAAAAGTGCACCAAATCTACAACACAATACATTGAAAATTCAGGACCAAGGACTTTGAAATTTGATTTAGGTTTTGAATTCACCTTCCCTGAAGTTTAGATTCGACTTTGTTCTCCAATAATCCAAATCCTTCAGGTTTGGTAAGATAAATTGTCAAAAAGAAAATTCTACTTTACTAGAGAAGCGGCTAATACAGGAAAATGCATTTTGGAGTTTGCAGTGAAGTTTTTAGTATTTGGATTTGGTCTTGAATCCCAAAATCATATTCTGACTTCATCGCACACTCGGTTAAGTTAATATTTCTTTCTAACACTTTATCTTACCAAACCTGTAAGGTTTGAGCCATTGGGGAATGAAGACAACAGTAAGCTGTCCAACTAAGCCGAATAGCACCAAACCCCAAGGTTTTGAATGCGTTGCCTTCCTACTCAACAAGATAAAAGAAAAAATAGCACACATAAGTAGTAAACTAATAAGAATATACATAGTGAGACAAAAAAGACAAAGGGCAGCACAGAGAAGAATCGAGTTTTTTCTGTTTTTGATTCTATTCATTTCTTCTATGCAACCAAAACCAAGACAGCCAAGATGTAGATTTGGACGTACCGTTCATCCACATCTAGGCTAAATGGTGTCGAATTTGAATTAATGAAAGTTTCATTGATTTGATTGTCATTATGTTTCGAAAGGAAATACTTCTTCAATAACTAGTCAAAAATAAGATGGTGGGCGCCGCTTTATTATCAAAATATAGAAAATCATAATGTAGATGAAAAATACATCGTTGACTGATTCAGTTGTCGACTAAACCTGTCGACAAAAAGAACTTACAACAATAAGCCGTCAACGAAATAAATTCGACAAATTGTCTTGTCGATGAATGATATGCAATTCGTGCAAACCAAGTTATTTACAGACACATTTATAAGGTTACTATAAACATTAATCTTCAAGTACATGTTTGTTCGAAAGTCAAAAAACCTGATCTTAAAAAGAATTTCAAGATGAAAAGAAGAATTCAAACAGTTTTAAGTAGTGTATTAGTTGCATAGAACACAATTGAACCGAAAAATGTTGTGTTAAAAGGTTTTATTATTTTTCTTTTTTATTATAGTTTTCAATATTTTAGAGTGGTCGAATACCAATAAAAAATCCATCATTTCAAATAGACAATAGTAAGAATGTGAAAGTTTGTCTTCGATGTATTGGTGCTAATGATGATTATATACTTTGTATTATATTTGACGAAAATAATCATGGTCTTATTACACTTTGGTCATTAAATGAACATGTTGAGATGTTACCAATGCGTTTTGCTTTTATTCATCATAATGAATCGTCACCTAGTCTATTTGATTTGCCATCAAATAGTAATGAAATTTTATATCTTGCTAGTGTTAATGGAGATATTCGAATATTAGATCTTCTTAAAATAAAAACTAAAACTAAAGTACTAAGTTTATCTAGTGATGATATGATTCAACAAGTGACTATTTTACAAAATCAAGTATTAAATCGTTTAGTTTGTTTATCTGATGATATAATAGCTATATCAACTGAAGAATACATAACTTTATTTGATCGAAAAAATTTATCAGAAATTTTACAAACAATTAATCTAAATGCACAAGTTTTTAATTGGAATATGATAAATCAAGATGATCATAATCAAATATTAATAACAGTTGATTCAAGTCAACAATTTATAACAATATATCGTCAAGAAAAAAAGACTTCATCATCATTAAATCAAATGAAAATTGAATTTCGTTCAAATGTTCAATATATCGAATTAATTCAAACAACAACAATTATGGATAATGATGAAAAGAAAAAAACTTATATTTTAATTTTACTTGATGACCAAACAATACAATTGCTTGATACCAATCAATTATCACAATCAAGTTTACAACCAAAAGGATTACTTGCTAAAATAAAAAGTTATAATGTATTATAAACATTTATATTATTTTAATAATTTTTATTTGTTTGTTTTTTGTTTGGTTTAGATAAGTAATACAAGTATTACAGCATGTGAATATGATTTGAATTGTCCATTGTCAATTTCTTTTTCGAATAATCAATCTTCAACTCCACAATTATTACATGCATTTGAAAATATGAATATTGAATATATTACTATGCTCAATAATGAACAATATTATGTTATTATTACCGGTGAATATATGGTTTATATTTATTCAATAGATAATCTTAATCAAATAGTTTTTCAATATGATCTCAAAATAAAATCACAATCAAATTTATTTTCATTACAAACATATCATTCAGATATAATTATATTTATGTTTATGAATCAATTTATAATTTTACAAATAAAATTTTATGATATTGAAAATGTATTTAAAATTCAGTCAGAACAAATTTTTCCTATTTCAATCCGTGATGTTCAATATTCACTTGAATTTACACCAAATAACCATTTTCTTATTCTTAAACAATCATTAAACCTTAGTAATTATCCTGATCTTAATGATTTTCGTATTTTTACTTGTAATAATCAATTTAAAATTTCACCTATTCAAGAACCTATTACTTACATTAAATCAAAATTAAGTGCAAGTGGTAAAATTATTGGGTTTATGACTTATGCATCTTCATTTACTCGATCGCTACTCTGGTTAGCTTATCAAGGGACAATATTGTACGTTCGTCTTCCATCAAATTTAGCTGAACTTGATATACGTTCTGATTATCATTGTTGGATGCGTCATTCTCTCGCAATGTATGAAAAAACAACGGAAAAATGTAGTTTATCAATTAACATAACAAGTTTAGCTGTACAATCACCGAATGATTTATGTATAGCATCAGGGGGTGATGATGGATCGATTGTTATTTGGCATTTGACAAATAAATATAGTCACGAGGTCTTAGAATCAATTCATATGGATAAGGTAATAGAAGCTAATTATATCTCATTAGTGGAATCTCCGAAGGAAATTAGTCTTTTTTTTTCTTTTTCTAATAAGATGACTGAAGGAAATAGAATTTCGATTAAAATATTTTTTTGAAGTTTCTATTTCCGTTTGAAATGTCAACAAAAGAAAAAGAAAAAGGAAACAAAAATAGAAATTTATTTTGATTGAATTTATCAAGAATAATTTCAAAAACAAAACAGAAAATTAAAAATCAAATCTACAACATGAAATTCTATAAGAAAATATTTAATTAATTTATTATTATTAGTATTATTAGTATTTTTCTTTAGATAACTGATCTTAAATTTGATATGAATACAACTCGATTATTTTCATCATCATATGATCGTACACTTGCTATATGGTCTCCTATTAAATTACTTCACGTTCTTCGAGTACATATACCTATTGATAGAATTAATCTTCTTTCTGTTTCTAATACTCTTCTTGCTCGTGCAAAATTCTGGGGATTTGATCGACTTATGATGTTTTATATTGGAAATTATTTGCAACAGTCAACATCTATAAAACAGAACACTATTATGAAAGAACTTCAGAATATGACAGATATTCAAGCATGTGATGTAGCAAGTTGGGCTTTATAGTAAAAAAAAACTAAAATAAAATAAATTAATTCCATATGTGTCATTATGCCTTGATTCATCGTTTCGTAAAAATAGTAGAGAAATTGTACACATATATAGGTTAGAATACGAACAATGTGTCCTCAATAGTCTATGGCTTTTTCTTGTCTATAATATCAATCGACGTCAAAAACCAAGAAAAAACAATACACAAATCATCAATATCATTAATTTCGTCTATGTAGACAGATAAAGAAAATTTCTTTTGACATATAATTTTTTTTCTCTTAGACAACATACGAACTGAATATAATTATATTCAGGACAAGAATTTCCTTTTTTTGTTTTAGAGAAAAAGCAAAAAAATGATTATTTATGTATTAGTTTTTTTTTATGTGTACACAATTAAAGAATAAGAGGGGAAAAGAAATATAAAAGAAGAAAATCATATATCCGACAGAAAACATAAAAGATACAATTTAGTTAAATGATCATGAATAATATGATCAAGTATTTAGTGTTAATGAGATAGATGTGTTGATGAAATTCTTATTAGACGATGGCCTAAATAAATGCTGAGTTGGCGATCTTGAGTTTTTTGTTGATGTGATATGAAATGTTGTCGGAGTAATGTACAACTAAAGAGACGAACAACTTCACTACGAAAACGTTGACCACATATAACATAAACGAAGAAATTTACACAAAATGATGCAAAAAACCAAAGACGAGCTACATTTACTGCACTAAGCATCCATGGTGGTTCTTTTTGAATGAATAAAAAGCAGAATAATAATAAATGGTAAGGCAAATTAAAAACCAAAAACACAGTTGATGCAGCTAAAAGCATTTTAGTTGTTTTAGCTGATGCTGTTGCTCGACATTGAGTCGAGCGTATTCCAATTGATGTATTTCTCTGATATAATGGAATATTTCTTGTTGACGAATTAGACGTTATCGACGTATTACTTCTGGTTCTTTTGTGTTGTTCTAACGGTCTAACACATAAAAGAGAACTGTTTTGTTGTTTAATAAGATGATTTGTTTCACTATAAATATTATTATTATTTGGACTACCATTTGTATTAGTAGCATTACTAATATTTCCATTACTCAATTGAGATAATGGAAGAGCATCCGAAACTGATTGGCCTGATGAATTACTTGATGACTTCACTGATGGATAAATAATTGGTGTTTGTGTTTTTGATGTAGGTGATTTTAATTTATATGTAAATTTTGAATGAAGTTTATAAACAATAGCTAAATTCATGCATGATATACATGAAAATGGTATAATAAATGTAAATAATGTATCCATAACAAGAAATGGAAATAATAATGGTTTATCTCGGTCTTCTTCACAATAAACAATATTTGTTGAATTTGAACGAAATTTTGTTGTTGTTACAGGAAATGATAATGAATAAAATAAACATGCAAATATTAATAATGTTAATGCTAATATACGATTTGTACGTTGTTTTAAAAAAGTTGTTGCTTTTATTGGAAAGAAGACAGCTATAAGACGATGACTTGTATAAGCTAATGTGAAATTTGATGATAAAAATGATGCTATATGACTTAAATAAATTGTTAACATACAAACAGGTGCAGTCATAATTGGTACATTTAATTCATCAAGTAAAGCCAGAACAAGTATAAGTATAAATATAAGATCAGTTACAGCGAGACAAGTAAGAAAAAATGATGAACGTAATGAACGTAATCGTCTTTGAGAAAAAACAATGATTGTAGTTGTATTACCAATAAGACCCGTTAATGCAATCATAATATAATAGGCTAATTGAAGTTTCGATGATAGTGTCATATTTACATCAGCTACAGGAGGCTTGTATGATGATAATGATAATGATAATGATAATGGTAAAGAAGTAGATAAAATGATAGGCGTAAAAACCAGCGTCAATTTGACTAGAGAACTGTTGGATGCATGATATGCATCTTAAGAACTAAAAAAGAAAAAGAACATTTCTTTTTATCTTTTATTTCCGTTTTCCTTTTCTTTCCGCTTTCACCAATCAAAAAAATTTCAAAATTCTAAACTATAATTATTTTCTGTCATCTCAAATTTTTATTTTTTGTTACACTTCATCATATTTAAGAAAAAAGAAATATCGTTTTTTTTTTATTTAATAATAGCAAATTGCTTTAGATTTATCGTATTAAGTCTATGAATACAAAAATATAATTTAATTTTAAAGAAAAACGAGAAGAAAATTTAACAAAATGTACTTATCTAAATATTTGTTTCAACGAAAGAAAGAAGACCTTGTGGAACAATTTATTACTATGAATACTTACTACAATACATGTCTAGCATATGAAATTAGAGTGTCCATTCTTATATTTTATTCAACACTATAGAATCCAACAGCTGTTTATAAGAGAAAAATACTAAGTAATTGATAGACAACTTAACAACTGCAATTCTAATGTAAATTATTTTTTGGCTGATACACGTTCTAATCATACTCTATTCAGTTTTATAATCAGTTAGGCTACAAAGCATGTACCTCATAAAAGTTCGATGACTTGAAAATTCTAAAGGGAAATACCAAACGCTGCTAGAATTGATTAGACATATGTTTTTTTATTCTAAGAATATTATAGGACTTATTAGCAATTCAAAAGAATATTTCTTCTGTTTGTCCTTGAAGATCAATTAATATCGGTACATGAACATATGTGCACATATATTTTGTTTGTTTAAATAAAAATTATGGTAGAAAAAGAAAAACAAAGAATCCTATTCATACCTCAATAATTGATTTCTATTATCAGTACTAATATTGTTATTATTATTATTATGTACAGGGTTAAGAAGGCAAAAAGTTTTTTCTCATTAACATAATATATAAACAAAAAGTCTAGAATATAGAAAAAAGCATATTTCTGCTATGTATCTATTCCTGTTATTTTGATCGGATCTTAATGTTTATTTTATATATAGAGTTGATATATATGCATATTTATGTGTATGACAATTTTAGTAATTTTTCTTCCTACGCTGTTATTGTTTAACTAATAAACTACCTACTTAATTTACGAAACAAAACGGACTTATGAGAAAAAAAGTTTTAAAGGAAATTTTCTTCTTGAATAATTTATATAGTGTTCTTATATTGTAATTCCTTTCTTTATGAATTAATAATAAATCATTATAATCGTAATAGCTTTTTTTCACCTATTATTATAAAGAGTCATTTCCATTAATTGTTTTCTTGTCATCTATTAGTCAATTATTTTAATTTATCTTACCTATTAAGATTATACTTCAGCACCTAAAAATTGTTGATAGTAGAGTAAAGAAACTATTACGTAGAAAGAATGCTAATAATATTATACAAAATGTTTTATCTTGGTTTCTCTTCTTTGTTTTTTTTTCTTTCTATTGATAGATGAATTCGATGTATAAAAACCATAAAAAGAAAATGAAATAATTGTTAATGACAGAAAGAAACATGTCCTTCATGATGAACACACGATAGTCCATCAAGGATAGGAAGTTAAGAAGTCATGTACTTTGACTATTCTATTTTGAACCCTTTTTCCTGTATGGGAACACTAAAAAAAATCTCTAATATTTGGTTTTCTATATCATGCATTATGACAAGAAAAAATATGAAAACAATGATACTTTTATTTTCTATTGACAAATAATGTATGATATAGATAGCGTTTTCACAGACTTTGATTTAACGATTTTATTTGTTCTTCTTTTCTTTGACACTACTTTGAAAATGTTCCTACGAATAAGTAATTCAACGAACCTGAATTAGTAATGTGTTAATGATAGGCTTATAGCGGTATTCTAGTACAAAAAAAGATAAAAAAATAATGTGATAATCATAAAATCAAGTTGTTAACAAAGTACGACTATTCTCAACGTAACATCAGATAGAACAAAGGTTTTGCAATATTAGAACTTTCTCGTCGAAATATACACACTATAATTGTTGTCATGCTCTTATGAAATTTAAATAATCGAACTACAAGGTTATATTAGCTGCGTATTATGTGTTTCAGTGAATGGTATCGACTTCTTAGAAATTCTTTTTTGTCTTCTCAAAATTCTTTTAAAATATTAAGAAAATGCCCAAAAGACTTTGTAATGCATATTGGGTTTCACATCAAATGCATTTTCAGAATATTATACAAGTATTTGATAAAAATATATATGGAATAATCGTCTGTCTAAGCATTAAATAACAAATGCAATTTTCGAACTTTTTTTCAGCTAATTCAATTTAGACAGTGTTACTAGAACTTCAAGTAGAAAAACAAATGGATTCTCTAAAAATTTCTCTAACTACGAATATAATATACTTATAGAATATTTGTTTTGAAAACGAGTAACTCAATAAAGAAAACGTCACTTTACTTAAAACGTTGTTTGCAATTGAATCAAAACATTGTGTATGAAAAAACATCTTATTGAACTTATTCGATAGTGTTTTTATAGTGTTACTTAGCACTATATTCTTTTTTTTGCAATTAAACATTGCTTCAAACAAACTACAAAATATGTGTCTGACGTAGATCTTATTTATTAAGTCTTATAGAGGAACCTCTGGACTTTTTATTAATAGTAATCAGATCTTGAAGACAATTATATTGTATATCTTTAAATAGAACAGTTCAAATCGTGTATTATATCTTTGCTTGAACATTTTCAAAAAACAATAGTCTAGCAAAATGTTTAGAGTACTTGGTATACTGTAATTTATTCAAATATTTCGATCATTATTCATAAAACTTGTGACAAATTGCTAGAAAATGATTATTGATTCCAAAAATGAAACCATGTACTCGACCTTTTCTTATGTCATTTACGCGTATTTATAAAAAAAAAAAAAGAAAACCATTAAGAAACATCGAGTATAGTGATTTGTTTGCTTCCTAAACATAATATAGTTCTCATTTAGAGTTTTTTTCACATCATTTATTAAAAAATATCGAAATATCTGAGTAAATTTTAAGTCTATTATATTTTTTATTGACAATAGTTTTATATGAAAAAACCATCGTTTTCAATAGTAAAATTTTAGTTAATTATAAAACAACGGTGGAACGAAGAGAACACTTCGATAAATATTTAATAGATTATTCTTCTACTTCTCATTTGTAATGTTGTAAAACAATATGACATTAAAAGAGCTTATAAATTTGATATTACTCTTAGCTTAATAAATAAGTTTATCTATATTAATATTTAATTAAAAAGTATATATTATCAAGATAAAAAGACTTTTTCATAATTTCTATCAAGATCGTATGTCTTTTTCTCTTCTAAATGAACTAGCAATACATTTTTAATCAGTGTTAAGCATTCATTGAGATAGAAACATCTTTTTTTTCTTTTTTTTTAAATCTTTCTAAGTTTTTTTTTCTATGCTCTGCATTGTAGACAGACTGCATGTCGCCTTTATTTCATTTATGTAACTGTTGTTCATCCATTAGTAATTTATTGCTTAATGGAACACATTTAGTTCTTCTATAATAAGTAGGTGAACATCCGTTAATCATATGAAATAAAGACACATGAATAATAATTATAGTATCTATTTTTCCAGTTTTAAATAGGAAAAAAACAAAACTTCAAATCAATGTTTAATTACCGTGCTACAATCATAGTTGTCATTGGTATTTTCGATAATATTCTGATATCGTAATTACATCATTGTTCCATTAGTAAATATCGATAGTGTGACCTTCATCATTATCATCTTACAGATGCTGATCTTTTCTTTTTTTTTTTTCTCTATCAGAGTTTTCTTTCTGTATTTCTTTTTTTTTGCACTCTCATCGAGAAAAGTCCAGAGAGTGCATTTATCGATATGATTATTAATAAAGAAAAAAAAGAATCAACACTGACAGGTCGTAAATCTCAAGATAGAAGTTAGCGATGAAACTATAATCTATATAATAAATTTTAAACCTAGTTTTCTTGCTTTGAATGTATATTCTAAAGATCATCATGGATTTTTTTCTGTTAAAATAATTAACTTTTATTGTTAAACCATTAGAACAATTGGCTTCATCAGAACTTTTTTGTATTTTGAACTGACGAAATAGAAATTCGTGACTTCGATTCATATACACATATCTGAACATTTCTGCTTGATCAAATACTGTAGATATAAGAATCTTAACGATTCATTTGAATCAATAATGATTCGATCTATTGAATAATTATTAAAACTATTCGTTGACTCTAAAGAGACTGTTAAAAAGTTCTTTGCACTTGTATAATGAAAACGAAAAGACCAACTAGAATAACACCTTAAAAATACCCAAAAACAATAATTACGACGGAATATATGGTGGATAATTTATGGTATAAATAAATAATTTTCTACGGAAATAATAATAATAATGTAACAATAAAGATAGCCTTGTAAATATGTATGTTACACATGACGAAGATTATAAGGAGAAATTTAACGGAAGAAAAACTTCTTCTTCATGATATTCTTGACCTAATTGCGGATATGACGAAATTAGGAAAAGAAAAATTCACGTTATACACAGCTGTTTTTGTTCTTCTTTTCAAGATTTTCCAGTTCAATGCATCTTTGGACTTAGGCTTTTAAAAGTTTAATATGTGGTATTTTTAACTTAAAGACGTAGTATAAATCTAAGAAATAAGAAGGATGAATATTATTGAATATTATATTTTTATTCTTTGATTTTAGATGCTGTAAGAAAATCAGATGTTATCCGTTTCTTTATATTGATTCTCCAAAAAGAAAATCATTTCTAGAAAGAAACCTTTGTTTGAGAACTATAAATAGATATAAATTAGATCCAAAACTATTTGATGACCTTATTGATTATGACATCTTTTATGTTTATATTCTATCAGCAAACCATTGATCATACAGACATTGATGCAGAAAAAATATGTTAACTAACTTATTAATGATCTAATTACAAATGCACATGAAAATAATTATCATCAGAAAAAAAATCAACATGACTCATATAAAAAACTAAAAATCTTTTGCTTTGCGAAGAAAGATATTGCAAATGATTGTATTCAAATGACAGAAAAGAATAAAAGACTTTAGTGGAAAGAATTATATGATTGTATCACAAGCTAGTCAACTAACTAACGACAACTTCAAAACAAAAAGAGACACTGAATGTATCTCTTGCTGTGCAATCAATGACAGCAAAAATCATCTGACTTGATGTTCTGTTTGACTGTTTCCTATTATGAAATGTATGGATTGTATTATTTGGACGAAAAAAAAGTTGTGCCGCTCTATCCTAACAAAATTACTGTATTATCAATTCGTTTAGTTTCAATGTATTCTTTTTTTTGACGTAATCAATTATTGTCATAATAATAACGCGAAACGATTTTCTTTGTTTTCAAATCTCGACATTGAAAGATGCAAAAAAAAATTATAAAACCAGGCCATAAAAGAAAAATCCTTCATTTATTATTAAAGAGACAATATTGTCACTGACTCAAATTGAAAAAGACACAAAATCTATATTATTAAGCCGTTAATGTCCATAAATAGTGTCCTGTAAATGAATCTAATATAATATATGATTAACTTCATAATGTTTTTAGTATTATCAATGTTGTAACAAGAAAAACATTTAACAAAATATGAAATATTACAAATGGTTCAGGGTCATGTAGCAAACACCTTGATAAATTTTGGTATCTTAATAAAGATTTTTTGACTAATAAAGAAAAACAATTTTAGAAAACATAAAATTATTTTCAATGATTTAATTGATTTATATTTTGATCATAATTATTTTAATTAAATTATATTTTATAATAGAAAAACGACATTATTTAATTTTTGTGGACAAAAGAATATTAATCGATTCTAATATGGAAACTCCTGAGACATTGACAAGCAAAAAACAAACACACGCATACACACACAAAAAAAATGAACTATTTAAACAAAATTAAAAAAAAAACACAAGAAAAATTTCAAAAAAAGCCAACATAATTAATCTAATCTTTACGATTAGAACGATGACGACGATGTGTTTGAGCACTACCGGGTGGTATATTATTTGTATTTGATTCTTTTAAATGATGTTCAATATTTGAACGAGCTTTTTGAAGAACATCTAATGTTGGCTGGACTAAAATAGAAGAAAAAGAAATGCTCGACATACCCTTATTTATTATAATCTAATATCACACTTGTCTTATATTCTTTTTTTTTGATTAATATTCTACTATGAAATGCACCATAAAATTGTATTCTTTCTATCTTGGGAAAAAACATGTTCTGCTGTAATTCAAAGACGGTTAACATCTTATCCGTCAACATCGAAGATAGTCAAACTTGTTGACAACTTATACATCTTGATTATCTTGGGCACTGTACTTCCTACGTTTTGACAGATATTCATACGATCGAGCTAAACAACAAAAGCATCAAGACTACCATCTTACTTTTTACAAAAGTTCATTTTCATTCAAAACAAAAAGAGACTAATTTTTGAGACAAACATACGAGCATGATATTTGAACTGTCTGATTTAAATCTCCCTTAAAAAAACATTTTTAAATTTGAAAGGGTTCAAAAAGATATAAGAAAGTTTTCTTATGTTCTGTATGTTTATATTCTTCAGCAAATCTAGGCAATAATTGAAGAAAAACAATGAGTAAATGTGTGTTCCAAAAACTGTGTTTTGATAGTAGCATAGACTTGAAATTCTTGATTAATTTTCGTCATGAAAATATGAGGTCAATATGTTTCATAGCGATGTCTAATAATGGGTATTAAAAAGTAGGAAAAATATATTTCATATCAACAATGCACCTCCATTCAAATTCTTTTTTCATGTCATTTGTTCTAAAAACACTGCGCATTTTTTTAAAATGATTATAACACTTTATGCTCCTTTGAATGATGCGATGAGACTGTTTAAGAAGTCTGTTGTTGTATAGGGAAGATCATATGCCTCGAAGCTTTCTTATGATGATTCCAGACTTTTGACGTTTTGACAGTTCTCAAAATTAAAGATAGCAACAATACAAAAATTTCTTCCCTTCATATGAAGAGGTAATTAGTTCCTCTTCAAATAAAACAATCTTCGGTTCTGTATTTTGAAGTGTAGTGAAAAGGAACTTCTATAAGTCAAGAACCCATCATAGACCTTGATCTGAAGGATACTCCGAACCACTGACATTCGGTGACATAAAAAGAATATTTGTAATTTTATTTTTATGTGTTCAATATTTGTGAAATGTATCATGAAAATTCTATACAATGATCTAAACATTGACTTCTGATAGAAAATAATCTTAACCAAACTCGGCATTAGAATTACAACGGATATGCTGTACTCCTTTTTCGGAAATGCCCTCAATGACTTTTCGTTCTACTCACACTTAACTGTAACCAATGATGTAATTGAGCTCTATAATAATAGGTGATAAGCTTCTATATCCTTTATGAACTATCAAATAAAATTTACTAAAAATAGTTTGATGTCAAACAGTTCATACACTATTTTACGTTAAAATACTCTTTTGTTTATAACAACTCATTTTCATATTGAGAAAATAAAGGAAGTTTGATTCAAAAAATATTAATTATCAAAATATATTAAAAAGTGCAGTAAAGTTATCGTAATCAATAAGCTAAAGAATACACAATCACTAAAACATGCATACAAAATAATAAAATAGTTAGAAGCAAATAAGAATAATTCATAAATACTACAATAAACTACACAAACACATTTAATAAACTAATATAAGTGAATTTAATTATTTGTTTGGTGAATAATTTTGATATTTGTTTACAAACAAACAAACAAAAAGAAAAAAAAACTTACGTAACAATGCCAAATATTCGCCTGTATCAGATTTTTTGCGATTCACTTTCTGCAATAATTGATATTAAATAAGGAAAACTGATATATATTGATTATTCTCCTCAAATGTAAGGGGAACCAGAAAAAAATACGAGGGAAAACAAAACAAAAAAAAAAGGAGACCCAATTTTTTTTTTGTTTCAATAACTTACAGTTAATTGAGCGAGTAGTTGTTCTAAATGATTTGATTGTTCTCGATATTTTTGTTTTAAAAATTGAATATCTTGAAGATATTTTCTTTGATTAAATAGAAGACGTTTATTCTAAACAAGAAAAATAAATAATATAGTTATGAATTTAGAGACAAAAAAATAAATAAAATGAAATAAAATTACTTCTTCCATGAGACGATGATCAATAAATATATGTTCATTATATTGATTTTTTTCTGGTAAATCAGCTTTCCAATATGTTTCAATTAAATCAAGAACATGCGTCAAACGTTTATCAAGTTGGTTTAAATGTTCTTCAAGCGATCTGATTGCTGTATCCTAATGGAAAATTACAAAAAAAGACAAAAATATTAAAAATAATTTATTCTACAGTAAAAACAGAATAGACTAAATGATATTTTAAATATATATAAAACTATTCTTATTCATGATCTACATATTTCTTCAATTTCAAAGTGTCTTCACTTCAACAATTATAGATAAATGATTCAAGAATGTTAATGAAAAATATAATAGATGTATGATTTACATTCACATAACCTAAGGGTTATATGAAGGTCTGACCGGGTACAATATTTATTAAAGCGTCGTGCTCAGCAAAATGAGGTGATACCCAGCAGGACAACATCGTACTTTGCCAGATGACATGCCGATGAGAAGTACGGCGCGCGTTAACTATTCATAGAAATAAGACTTTTTTTTCTTAATGAAGCCAACTTGAGTCTAGTTCGAAAATTCTGACTTACATAAAATTGTCCATCTCTTTTGAATGTTTGACTTCAATCTAATTATGTTTTAATATGAGATTGTAACTCACGAATACACAAAAATAAATTCTTTGTGAGTAAAGAAAATAGAAAAGACGAAAATTTATATCTATTTAAAATCTCAAAAAGGAAACACTCTCTCCTTTTCGAATGTTAAGATCAAAATTTTTTCGATTTTTGATAGTCTTCAAGTGTCTCTTCGTTGTTAGTTAGTACTTCTATTAAACTTCACTCTCGAAATCTTTAGCAGAAAAACTCGCGCTGCGATTATCCTTCGTATCAAAGATTCTGTTAGTCATCATTTCTGAAGGTGCTGACAGCATGGGTCATGAATCTCTAAAATCGCTGAACACGATCAGTTATTAATTTTTTTTTGTTGGAGAAAAAGAAGTCTTGATATAGGCAAAAAAATTTGTTTTTCATTTTTCTCGAAATGAATTTTTACACAAAAATAAGTGCATGATCGCCCTAGCTTCTCCGACATAGTACAGGATGTGGTTAAAAAACATGTATTTTTGCAGATGTACTCAGTATTTTGATTTTTTTATTTGAATAGAAGGAGATAAACAGAAATGAAAAAAACTAGGTAACCCAAACAGTGTTCAATATCTGTAAAAACAATTCTAGCTCAATCGGACATTTTGTGGTTGAGAAAGCGGAGCGATTATAGCCTTTATGTCTCAGATATTTCCTAGAAGGAAATATTTGAGAGTTTCAAGTGTATAATAACTTTTGCTCAGCTCGTTGAAATCTGTCCACTCTGAAACTTTCAAATATTTTTGCTGAGCTGCTCTTCATAAATTTCGGAAAGGCGGTCGCCTTGAGAATATTATCATGAACTTTAATTGTAAAGAGACTGTTCTGCTACAAGTTTTTCTTTTGTGATTTTTCAAAAAATCTTAACATTTGATGAAGAACGACTTGTCTCAAAAAGTAAAATCTTTCTGCCAAGAGTTACACTATCAATAGATAAAATCCGTCAAATACCATATCCCATTGACATACAATGCTTCTATTTTCTTCATGTATTTGATTTATACTTGACATACACCAAACTCGAGCTCTGACTTCGTGTTCGAGTTCAGAAACCACTAACTAATTCAAACAATGCTGAGTAATTATCCGAATATTTCTTGAGGTACATGGACAATCATGAAATCATCCTAAGATTCGCTTAAGTTCCGAATCGAGTATTTCTAAACATTGTTGACTTTTTTTTCGGATAAAGGCAGATCTTCGGTTTTTGTATCATTTATTTCACTGTGTGTAGATCTACCATATCCAATCCTGAAATCCTTTCTTTTGACTTACTTCTACTTTCTCTTATTCATTAACTGCAAATGACCATATTCGAGATCAAACTCGAACTTTCAGATTCTGTACATATCTAATCTATACTATGATTGCACGATTTTAGTTCGGCAAGAATTCAATTTGATAATGTTTTTTTTCTCAGTAATAGATTTACTGTAAATCATACAGTTGTATCGTATCCAAAGAAAACTTGAATCCTTACGCTAAAATCTTTTTTTGATATAGAAATAAACATTGATATATACAGAAAAATCATATTATTCTTTTCTATGCTTCAAACCATGATGAATTTCTTTTATTCTCATAAAAAATTGTCCTTATTTCCCTTTTTTGCATTCTAAATACATACAGTTTTTGAACGAAGTTGATCTTGTAAATGCGGTGCAAGTGCTTTTAAATCAATTCTAATATCTTGTATTAACCGACGAAGATCGTCATGAATTTTTGATTCACCAACAATATATTGTCGCATAGAAACTAAAAATTGAAACGAAATAATTCGATATAAAATTTTCTCAACAAAAAAAAAACATCCATTTGACATACTTCTTGGCACAATTTCTTCAAAAGATTGCTGAGCATATTCAACCTGTTCAAGTTCACTTGTAGATGAAGCTATAGGTTTTGAAAATTTTTCATCGATCATAATTGATGATGATAAATTCTCAGCACCAACTACACCGGATGCATCAAGTACACGAAGATCAGGATATGAAACCCCACGACCAGAAAATGTAAATGAACGTGGTGATCGTGATTGACGAATATTGTCATCTAGTCTTGCTTGCAATTCTTTTTGCTTTTCGATACTTCGTTCAAGATCACGACGAAGAAGACGCATTTCTTGTAATAATTGTGATAATTCATTTTTTCGAATTGAAATTTCACTTGTATCATTATCTAAAATAATATTATTTGATAAGAATATCAAAAAAAGAAATGTTCGTACCATCCATCACAGGCTTTCGTTCTAATATAGTAATTTGAGTTTTATAATGGTCGATGACAGATTCATTACGTTTGACTTCATCTTTTAAACGTTTTATTTCATCCTTTAGACGTTGGATTTCATTATTTAATCTAAAGAAAGATTTTTTTCATGATTTCTATATTTTAAATAAAATTATGTGTTTTACCGTTGATTTTTTTCTTCACTTTGATCAAATTGAATTTTGAATGTTTTAAGAGAATCGATTTGTAAACGTGCTTCTTGTAATTGATTTTCAATTTTACGTGATCCACCAGTGAAATCTTGACGAATTCGATCACATTCAATACGATGACGATATTCAGCATCTTCATTGACTTTTTCCAAACTAAAATATTTTCATTTTAATATATTCAAGATAACTATAAAAGAAAAACAATTTTCAATCGTTCACTAGACGTTATATACAATACTAATCAGAGAAGTTGTGTTTTTTAGCTTAACTAAGAATCTAAGGTCTTCCGACCAAATACTAAATATACTCAGATGAAATCAATGAGGAACATACAAATTCATATGCCATAATCTATGAAGTGAAAGTCTTACTAAAAAATGTTTACTCATTTTTCGGCCATGTAAAGACAACTGATTTTTGCTAGCAATTAGTTAGAGTCAGGTTTTGGTCTATCCGAATATGTGTTCACAGTGTCTTTCTGGGATAAAAGTAGACCACAATCATCAGATTGTTGTGAAAGATCCAAAATAGTGCTTATATAGAATACTATTTTAATCGATTTTGTATTTCATTTGGACTATTAAAATGCAAAAGTCTTTATTAGCTTAGTGTTGTAGAGTAAAGTCTGCTCTTCAAAGTGTACAATTTACTTTTTTCATGACGGATTTTAAAACTTTTATACATTTAAAAGCAGTTTTTGAAACAGTGATATTTTAACCGATGTCGATTTTGATAGAAACTAGCTCTTTAGTGAAAACTCATAGATAAGATTTCACTTATTGTAATATCTCATTTTGTAAAGAATTCCGTGTTCTACATAATTATTGAGTTGAAGCTTGTCTAAGACACAAACCACTTAATGACTACATCAAAAACGATTCTAAGTAACTGCTTCTGGCTCTAACGAGTTGCCTATTAGTAGCCAAAAAATGAGTAAATTTTTGTGACAAGGTTTTCGCGCGATAGACCTGTTTTCCTGAGTAAATTTTGCAATACAACTAATTGTTAATGATATTTATTATTAAACATCATTTTACTTTGATATTAAGCTGCGAGCCAAGTAGAGATAAAACCAATCGATCTTAGTTATTTATTTCCATCCATCTATTAGAAGTCGGTGTAATATTTTCACTGATATAGCATGTATAATGTCATCATACAATAGTCTATTTAATTTCAATCTGAATTTACAAAAAAAATTCTTTCGATTTCAAACTTAGTTAGAGTTCTTTAGATACATATATTATCACATATATACAGTTATACCACTTATTTCCAAATATTGGTGGATCTTGCGAAACTTTGTGACTTTTTTGCGTTTTTTAATATACGTTGTGATTTTAAGAATTTACATTATAAATGTTTCCTCTTGAAAGTGATCACGGTTTTCTCTTTATTTGTATACATTAAATACACATGGGAGTCTAAAAATCTTTAGCATATTTTATTGATATACATATAAACCTCGATAATCCATTGTTTTCCATAGTGGATTGAGTAGGTCTATAGTATATACAACAAGACATAATTCTAGAGTCTCCTTAGTTTGATAATCTAAAAAATGTAAGTATAGAGTTATATAAAATAACAGATCATTTTAAAGATTGACCGTCAAGAAAGTAGAGGAAATTATGACTTTACAGATGTGTCTGTAATAATAACTTATTCGAAACACTCATTAAATATATATATATAAATGCCACTGGATTTGGATGAGTGAGATATATGATATCTTTTATGTAAAGTAAGACATATTCTTCTGTCTTGTGGCGATAAATAGGCGTCTTTTCCTAGATTGTCTAAATGCCCGTTGTTGAAAAAAAATGAGCGTAATTTTTTTTCTAAAATTTAATTTCAAATAAAAAAATCGCCTAGACTCCGCAATACTATCTATTGATATTTTCTAGTATCGATTTCGTTTTCTTGTTTTTTATGACCAATTATTCTAAATTGAAATTGAAATCAACCTATGGCTGTATTCTAGTTGAGAGATGATCGTATGAAATCGATAATTGTATACAGGATAGATGGTAAACATCTTCACGATAAGAAAGGTTGAATATCGCCATGCTACTCAGAAGTATTGGTCTGATTTTTTTATCACTAATAGAAAAGTATTCAAAGTTTTTTTTTCAGAGCTGGATAAGCACGGATTTTCACAAATACAAGTACGAAAGAATGATTTTCTTAAGATTTTATTAGAGAATATTTAATAAGTAGTTTCCGAAATGACTTATCAATTTTGAGATCGAGATATTGTCAGAATCATGAATCAAAATGCTGTCATTATTATTGTTTTATTATCAAGTTTTAAACAAACAAACTGTAACAAAACTTTATTAAACTTAAGCAAAGTAAGCAAGCGTAGATTATTTAAGATTAACGATGCCTGATGTGAATGCATTACAATACCACTTTGAGACATATTCTTCCAATACAAGCTCATGTAACTGGTACTGACAAGTATTTCAGATCAAGTTCAAAGAAAGAAAATTAATGACTCTTCTCGAGGAAAAGAAAACTAGAGTGTGAATATGACTATAGTCCTTCTATTCACTCACACCTACACCCATATCTACAACCTCGACCGTGTATACAGAAGATTTTTAGTTCATCTGTTGAAATTCTTTTGAGAACAAAAAAAATAGAATCAGTATTCATAGAAATCATACAGAGTCTGTTTTGTTCTAATACTCAAATTAAGAATAATTTGTCTAAATTGACTTTTCTGTTCAACATCGATTAAAGGTCGACAAGACAATTTGGTTGTTATAGTACAAAAATGTTCCTTTTTTTAAAATCAATTTGTATAAGGAAAGAAAATAAATTTCAAAAATCGAACTATTGAATTATTTTGTATCATTAATGATTTGACTTACTTAGTAAGTTTAGTTGTGAGTTCTTGAATTTGTTCACCTTTTCTATTGATATCATTATTTAATATTCGAATTTGTTCGTCTTTTTCATGTATTTGTCGTTGAAAGTCATTTGTATCTGTTGCATTACTTAATGCACTATCTCTTTTATTCACTGATGTTTCTAAATATTAATATAAAATCAACTTTAATTAAATATCAAAAACAAAAACAAAATTTGTTTTTGCGAATTTCAAGTGTATATGTGATCGTTAGGAAAAATAGTAATAATAGAAAAAAAAAGAATCGAATACTTTCATTCTGTTTCTCGTATGTGTATGTATTTTTTTTCAGCAAAAAAAATTTTTGAGTAGAAAAATAGCAATCTATGTTAAAAGAAGTGATTTGTGTAAAAGAAAGAAAAAAATCATTAAGAATCAAGAAAAGTGCTTGATAATCATTGTGAAAGTACGATACATGATCGTTTAGCTTTCTCTTTCTCTGTCTGTCTAGAAAATTGATGATAATATAATAATAATAATAATAATATGAAATAAAAAAAAACAAAGTAATGATTTACTTGAATAAACATACTTTTTTTCGTATCATTTCCTTGTAATATGTCAATATCTAAATCAATAATATATTCATCCATTTGATCAATAATATGTTCTTTTCTTTCATCAAATATTGGTAAATGAGTATCATATTTCTATAATGAAAAAAAGAAAAAATAAAACAATCTAAAAAGTTTGAAGATTAATAATAGAGTAAATCAAACTTTGAAGAATTGTTCATATTTATTTAATTTCTTTTTTGATTGTTCAATACAAGTTTGTTGTTCTCGAAAAATTTTTTCATAGTTTTGTTGTGTTTTTCTACTATGTTCAATTGTTTTATACAGTTTTTTAAGTTCAATTTTAAGTAAATTTGATTCATCTTTGTAGGTTTCAATAACAAGATTTAAATTCTAAGAAAAAGAAGAAAAATTTTATTTATCTATTCAAGATACCAACAATATGAAATTTGACTAAAATTTGTCTTTTTAACATAACTAGATAGAGCTGATCGAGTTATGTTTAAAAGTCTTGTTCAAGAAATATTTGAATAATGTTTTTGTAACAAAAATTTAGAAAACTTAAGTTCAAAAGCAGTCAGAAGAGTCTACGTCAAAGACATCAAACTTCGGTAACAGAGATGGAAACGATCTTATGTTTTAACGATCAGTATCGGTTGCATCTGTGCTTGATAGTCTCAATATTTATTCGAAATCATTTATTTAGTTTACTCTTTATATAGTTAGGAAAAAAATTATGTATGATTTTTGAAAAACATTGTTTTATAGTTGAAAAAAACCACTTTTTTTCTATATGGTAATAAAACGTTATAAATACGAATTCTTATTCAGAGGTCTAGATCATGAAAAATTCATTTCCAAATAAAACGAATCTCATATACAAAATCAGCAAAAAAGTCTGCATTGTAATAACATTTATAGTATTATATCAAATAAATCGATTTTCTCAATAATGAAATAAATTTTTTTTTCTTAACTATATAAAGAGTAAAATTATAAAATGATTCAAACAAATATTAAAAATATCGAAATTTGATGTTTTTTAGCGTAGACTTTTCTGACTTTTTTTGAACTTAAGTTTTTCTACAAAGTCATTATTTGCATATTTCTCAAAATTAAATTTTCGTAGATAACTCGAAGAACAACCGTGACAAAGCAAAATAGATTCAAAAAAAAGAACAATGTCGAATCTTTACTTGTATCTGTTGTTGAAGTTTGTCTATCGTTGGTGATTGAATTATATCTGGTGTGTTAGTTCGAACACGCATTTGTAATTGTTGAATAAATTTACGTTGATTACGAATTATTTCTTTGAGTTCATTGATATTATCGATTTCTGTAACATCATTGTTTATTTTATTTGACTCATTTCGACTCATTATAACTGAATCATCAGCACTTCGTCGACGTTGTCGAATACATGATTCAATTAAACCTAAATTATGTAAACATGTTTTTAGTTAGATCTTTGTACATTAGAAAATCTTTGATCTAAGATTTTCCTAATTAGAAACTTTTGAAAAAAGCCATTCTTTGATTTGTAAAAATTGTTCGACTTCTTCTGCTATTCGAACTTGACGAAAAAGAAAAATCAATCTTACATAGATCACTATTCCTATCAATACAACATAGTTCAAGATTACCTACAAAAATTGAAGAATATGTTATTATCATTTGATTTAGAATCGTTTAAGACAGAAATACATGTTCATGTGTGTAATTTGATATTTCTCGAAAAATTTCCAAGTTCTTTAGAACTTTTTTCGACTCTATTAATATTGAATGTAACTTTAGAATCAATCCAGTTTTTAATCAAAAATAATAGAAACTCTTCTCAACGCGACTCAGAGTGTAAATTATGTTGTTTTTTATTTGTTAAGTGTTCAAATCGATAAGGTTAATTTTTCCTTTAATATCTTTACACTACAATGCTTATGATAAAAAGGATGCAAGTTTGAACAAAAAATGCGCATATGTATTGACTTTAATTTCAAATTATTGACTAATAAATCTAACGTGATTTGATGTTATCTATAAAATGTTTGACGAGAGTTATGTGCTGATGAAAATTAATGTGAAAAGTCCGCTAACTGATTAATTGCTTGAAATTTGAAAACATATGTATCACATAGACTCTAGTGGGTTATGAATACTTTGAAAACAGTTCGGACAATTAGTTTATTGCTGTTGACATATTGCATTATTACAGTATTTTTCAATGCAATGTCGTCGTTTCTCTTAGCGATACCAAGAAAATTTACTTTTGAATGTCAACTTGAAATTTTACATAGGAGCAAGTCTTACAGATAGTAGTTAATCATGAAAGTACTCGACTATTTGGTCTACTCATGTCTGAAGATAAGTACATCGAGTTTACGGATGTATATGAGCCATATAAAAAATGCGCTCTTACCATGGCTGTATCTGCAGATAGGAACAATAAAAATATCTGAACTTTCGCAAGAAATTATTCGCGTTAAGGCTAGTTTCTATGTAAATTTTCAAGTTGAAACTCGAAGATCAATTTTCCCGAGAGAAGCGGGCTGTAGCATATTAACTCATCCGGCCTACATGATACACATAATCTCAATTTAAGAGTAATTAATCACTTGAGAGAGACTTTTCTTGTAATTTAATTCGAAGAACTACTTAATCTTTCACAGAACATGAGAAAGATTTTGATTGTAGAAATACGAACCAGCTTCATATAATACATTTTGATATTTAATCAATTCTCGATGATAATTTCTCGATTGATTTTCACTTCGACCAAGTTGTTCTGTAAGACGTGCTAATTTTGTTTGCCATTCAATATTGGAACGTTCTAATAATGCTATAGTTGATTTAATGTTTTTTGTTGGTAATTCAATACTCGTCGATAACATTCCATTATGTAATGAACAAAAATTTTGTTCTAATTTTCATAGACAGAGAAAGAGAAGTAAAAAGTGTGTAAGCAATTACATCAATCAACAGTAAAGGAAAAAAAAGAAGAAAGCAAGTCAATAATTAGTGCAAAAGTATTAGAATATTTAGGGATATCGAAAAGTAATAAATGCAGATAATACAAAACAACAAAATACTAAGCAAAGACCTGATGATGATCTCGAATTAGCATTGAGCTTAGATGAGCGAACTTCATCCGTACGGCTTTGTTGTAATTTTAATTTTGCAAGTTCATCCTGATAATTAGCTAATTCAACAGCTAATTCAGCTCGTGTATTTGAGCCATGAATATCAATTAATGCATTAAGTTTACGCCATAAAACTTGATTAACATATTTTTGACGTGAAAGTTCATGTCGTATTTCGACTAATTGTTTGTGTAATTCAGTGATAGTAGGAAATTTGTCTGTGTAGATTTAAGTATGTTTATATTCAAAATTGCAAAAAAAAAGGATTTTTCTTCAGTTTTCCTTTTCTTTTTTCTTTATTAAAAACTTACTTTTTAATTGTTCATTTAATTCTTCATTATGTTGTAAAGACATTTCAAGTTCATATAAAAGCTCTTCACGACTTAAATGTTCATAATTACTTTGTACTAAAATAAAGTTAATATAAATTAAGAAATTAAATGCCAACAAATAATCGATTATATGTAAATGTTTGATGATTTTTTTCTTCAATGAAACAAAGAAAAATGATATGATTAAAATCTTTAAATATTATAAGTTATCTGAATCAAAGATTTTTGAATATTGAATAAATTTCTAAAAATTTCGATTCAAAAAAAAA